GCTTCCCCCACCGCACAGCCGCCCGCGACGAACAAGACGCCTCCCCGCCCCCGCCACATCCAACTAGCACGCTCGTTGGACGCCGTCACACTCGTCGAACGCTGGCGGGGCAGCTAGCTGGTCTGTGGGCGCCGCGTCTCCGCTCGTCGGCCGTCTCCTTCTTCGACGCCTGCAAGTTGTTCGACAGCTTGCCAAGGTACGAAAATGGACTCCGCCGACGAGTTATTTTTCCACAATTTCCTTTGCGACTTCGACGATTCATCGTCCGACGACGAGGAGATATTGGCTGCCGTGTTGGTCCAGCACCACCTCAACAGCCAGCGGCCGTTGTTCCGTGGCTCCATTCCGGGCCACCTTCCGGTGTTGAATCGCAACCGAGAGAGCGGGCATTTCCTTCTCTGGAAGGACTACTTTGATACAACAAACACGTTATTCAAACATAAAAAATTCCGCCGCCGGTTCCATATGAGTAGGCATGTTTTCAACCTTATTAGAGAGGGAGTGGTCGGCTATGATGACTACTTCGAGTGCAAAGAGGATGCCGTCGGCAAGATTGGTTTCTCCTTTATCAGAAATGCACTGCCGCCATCCGAACGCTTGCATACGGAGTGCCCGGTGATCTCATTGACGAGTACGTCCGTATGAGCGAGTCTACATGCCTAGAGTCTCTGTATAAGTTCTGCAAGGCTATGATTGTTGTGTTTGGCCCTGAGTACTTGAGAGAGCCTACAGTTGAAGATACAGCCCGTTTGTTGGCGATGAATGCCAGCAGGGGCTTCCCAGGGATGCTTGGCAGCATAGACTGCATGCACCGGGAGTGGAAGAACTGCCCTTCTGCTTGGCAAGGGCAGTATAAGGGACATGCCAGGGCTTGCGCTGTCATACTAGAGGCCGTGGCGTCCCAAGGTCTCTGGATCTGGCACTCTTTCTTTGGCATGGATGAATCACACAATGATATCAACGTGCTTCAGCGCTCACCGGTGTTTGCTCGGCTTGCCGAAGGCAACAACCCACCGGTGAACTTTACTGTCAACGGCCACAACTACGACAACGGGTATTATTTGGGTGACGGTATCTATCCTCAGTGGACCACTAGTGTCAAAACAATACCCAACCCTGTCGGAGAGAAAAGGGAAAGATTTGCCCAAGAGCAAGAGAGTGCTAGGAAGGATGTCGAGTGTGCCTTTGGTGTTTTGCAATCTCGATGGGGCGTCGTTCGGTATCCTGCTAATACTTGGAGCACGCAGAAACTATGGGAGGTGATGACTGCTTGTGTGATCATGCACAATATGATCGTAGAAGACGAGCGCCCGGAACGTCTGTACGATCAAGGCTTTCAGTTTCAGGGTGAGAATGTTGTGCCTGAGCATGGAGTAGCGGCAACATTTGAGCAGTTCACTCAGTTTCATGAAGACATGCGTGATTGGGAAACTCACGTGCAACTGCAAAATGATTTGGTTGAGCATATGTGGACTCATGTTGGCAACAAATAGATGTACCTTCTTTTACTCGTTTGCAAAACTACGTGAAACAATTTTATTTGTATTTGACTCATAAAACTATACTATTTATTTGGGCGGCTAAACTATTTTGCTTGCATTTTCATTTCACAATATGTTTGAATGCAAATCAATGTAAAATTGGGCGGCCAGTCGGCCACGCCTGCACATATCGGTCGGCGCGTTGGGCACGCTGCCAACCCATATGAAAAACAGGGCGGACGCCGGGTGGACGGCCGACCCAAACGAACAAAAAGCGGACGAAATCGTTGTCTGTTTGGGTCAGCCCATTGGAGTTGCTCTTATTTTTCTTTTTCTTTCTTACATGTTACGTCATTTGATTTAGACTTGACTAAGTTTCAGTCGACTGAGACCTAACCATACCCTTAGGGTAATTAGGGCATCTATATATTTGAGAAGAAAAGGTGAGTTTTAGAGAGTTAATCACTAGCTAGCAGATCATCTAAAGGCAACTTTGTCAAATAAAATAAAATTAGTCTCACTCCGGAAAAACCATCCCCACATAAGCAATCTGGTCCAGCATGCCGCTCTGGACTAAAAGTAGGGAAACGGTTACGCAACATTCGAGCCACACCGCCGCCGTCCACCTAAAGCCGGTCGGCCCCGGGGCCACCCCGCCGCCATTGGCAGCTACACTAAGCCACCCCACAGCTCCAACACCCCCTCCGTCGCCTTCTCCTTTGTCATTGGCACCGGATTTGTCGTTGCCGCCGCCATTGTCACAAGGGCAAGATCCGCCACCGATGAGCACCGATGTGACTGAAAATGGAGGCATACAAGGGTGGAAAGTGGATGCTTCCCTACGAGCAAAGCCCACACTGACCTATGGCAATGATCGTTCTCAATGGTTGTCGTTGTCGCCCTCCGTTATGCTCACGTTGGCTCGGCGTTGAGCTCGTTACCGAGTCGTACGCATGTGGGCGAGTCATCTCGATGCAACAGCGGCCTCGTCACCGGTGCCGCCCCAAATCCGGGGTCGGTGCTCCTTTGCGGTTGCAAGTATCTAGTCGTTCAAAAAACATTGAACATACTGAATCCCAAGCGAGACTTTTTTGCTTGTGGTGACCAAGAAAGCAAGGTATAACCGCAATCCCTTTTTATGTTTGCAATTAGATATAAAAAATCGTTGCTCAAAACATTTTACACATGCAAAGAGGTTAGAATTGCAACACATGGATATGTGTGGATCTCTTAACGGTTTATGTAAGTCAACTGCTTGACTATTATCATTGATCACTGAGAGAGAAGCTAGATGATGTGTTGCT